AATCTAACGTGCTCTTTTGACTTCAGTGTCATTTGAAAATAATCCCATTCAGACAAGAATTTAAAATAACAACTATTGCATCATCAATTTCATAGTTTTACTTTTTTGTGATTCTTTATTATTTCTAATTTAGGTTGTATGGTGTTGATATCATTTTTATTTAGGAAAAATTACAGTGTAAGTAATTAGGTAATATATTTTAAAAATTATGTGTAACTTTTATATATCAATTTGTAAGTATATTTAAAAACATTTATGACTGTATCATAATCCTTGTGTTGATATGCTATAATCTACCCACTTTTCCCCTATTAGACGTTTTATTGTAAATAGCATGGCAACACATTTTTTTTATCAGTCTGTGTTCTGCGTTGCAAGTTACAAAAATGGACTTCAGCTAAAACAACAGAAAATGAATTTATTGGGAGTCTTGGGTAGTCCATAGACTCAATGGGAAGTTTGGGGAACCAGGTTTGTACATCAGGCAGATGTCAGGGCAGCCATAAGCATAGCTTTAGGAACATTCTGGTTAGGGGCTGGCTGCTTCTAGCTCCACAGTCACCAGACCTTTGCTCCCCTAGAGATGCTTGTTGCTGCTACCATCACTATCCCCTATTAATCATTTCCCAGCATCTTTGCTTCTGTCCCTCAGGGTTCTGGGTGTTTGCTTCCGATTAGCCGAATCTAGGTAATTTGTCTTCTTGATGTTAGAGGGTAGAGAGGAGTGTCTTGTGGTGATCTCTCCCCTGCCAAGACTCACACTCTTTGGTTTCACCAAAACAGGGACTGTGAATGCCAGGGTCAAGAGGATAAAAATATAAAGGTCTTTGTGCATAAAGTTTTAATGCCTCTAAATATCATGTAGGGCTTAATTCTTGGTATTAGCATCATGAAATCAAAATGTATGAAATTCTTAAGCTTCTTTGCCCTCTACTTGCCCCTTTATTTTAAATATTCTTCACAGTTCTTCTGTCCTGTTTTTGCACTATGCTTCTCTTTATGACCTTATCCATTTCTATAGCCCCTAGGGTTTGAACCACTTTTGATATGTGGGTAAGTCAAGCGTATTTATTTCAATCCCGAGTCTCTATCTGGAACTTCACATAAGCATATTTATGTGAAGTAATCTGTGCATATCCTAGGGGGATATCTGCTACTTTGAAAAGGTCCCAAACAATTCATCATCTTTCTCCTCAAACCTACTGCATCTATATAATCTCTGGTTTAGATATTGTGACTACCATCAGCTAGTTCACGAAATCAGGAACCCGTTTTTCTTTTCTTGGTAAGGCCACAACAACGTTTATGATTTTTTAAGTTACTTATTTTAAATAAATACTTTTATTTTAGGTTCAAGAGTATACATGCAGGTTTGTTCTGTAGATAAATTGCATGTCACAGGGCTTTGGTGTACAGATTATTTCATCACCCTGGTAATACCAATAGTACCCAATGGGTAGGTTTTCAGTCCTCTCCTTCCTGCCACCCTCTGCCTTCAAGTAGGCCCCTGTGACTGTTGTTCCTTTCTTTGTGTCCATGTGTACTCAATGTTTATAAATGAAAACATATAGTATTTGGGTTTTGGTTCCTGTGTTATTTTGTTTAGGATTATGGCCTTCAGTTGCATCTATGTTGCTGCAAAGAACATGATCTCATTCTTTTTTATGGCTGCATAGTATTCCGTGGTGTGTATGTCCCACATTTTCTTTATCCAGTTTTATGATTTTGCTATTTTGAATAGTGCTGCAATGAACATATGCATCCATGTGTCTTTTTTTTTTTTTCTTTGAGCCAGGGTCTCACTCTGTCACCCAGGCTGGAGTGCAATAATGTCATCATGGCTCACTGCAGCCTCGACTTCCTAGGCTCAAGTGATCCTCCCACCTCAGCCTCCTGAGTAGCTGGGACTACAGGTGCATATCACCACATCTGGCTAAGTTTTAAAAATTTTTTGTAAAGGTGACGTTTTGCCATGTTGCTCAGGCTGGTCTTGAGCTCCTGGGCTGAAGCCATATACCTGCCTTGGTCTCCCAAAGTGCTGGGATTACTGGCATGAGCCACTGTACCTGGCCTGCATGTGTCTTTATGGTAGAATGATTTGTATTCCTTTGGGTATATACTCATGAACGAGATTGCTGGGTTGAATAATACTTCTGTTTTAAGTTCTTTGAGAAATTGCCACGCTGCTTTCCACAATGGCTGAACTAATTTACATTCCTACCCATAGTGTGTAGGTGTTTTTCTCTGCAGCTTTGCTAGTATCTGTTTTTAGTAATGGCCTTTCTGACTGTTGTGAGATGGTATCTTATTGTGGTTTTGATTTGCATTTTTCACATGTTAAGTAATGTTGAGCATTTTTTTCATATGCTTTTTGGCCATGTGTATGTCTTCTTTAGCAAAGCATCTCTGTCTTTTGCCTACTTTTTAAGGGGGTTGTTTGTTCTTTTCTGATTAATTTGTTTAAGTTCCTTATAGATTCTGAATATTAGACATTTGTCGAATGCATAGTTTGCGAATATTTTTCCCATTCTTTAGATTGTGTTTACCCTATTCATAGTTTCTTTTGCTGTGCAGAAGGTCTTTAATTAGGTTCCATTTGTCAATTTTTGTTTTTGTTGCAATTGCTTTTGGCATCTTCATCATGAAATCCTTGACAGGGATTATGTGCAGAATGGCATTTTCTAGGTTATCTTCCAAGGGATTTATAGGTTTAGGTTTTACTTGATTTTTTTTGTATGGTGTAAGGAAGAGGTCTGGTTTCAATCTTATGCATATGGCTAGCCAGTTATGCCAGCACCATTTATTGAACAGGGAGTCTTTTCCCCCATTGTTTGTTTTTGTCAACCTTGTTGAACATCAGATGGTTGTAGGTGTATGGCTTTGTTTCTGGGCTTGCTCTTCTGTTCCATTGGTCTATGTGTCTGTTTTTGTACTAGTACCATGCTGTTTCAGTAACTGTAGCCTTGTAATGTAGTTTGAAATCAGGTAGCATGATGTCTTCAGATTTGTTCTTTTTGCTTAGGATTGGCTTGGCTATTTATGCTTTTTTGGGGTTTCATGTGAATTTTAAAATAGATTTTTCCAATTTTGTAAAAAATGTCATTGGTAGTTTGATAGGGATAGCATTGAATCTATAATTTGCTTTGGGAAGTGTAGCCATTTTAGCAATATTGATTCTTACTATCCATGAGCATTGGAATGTTTTTCCATTTGTTTGTGTCATCTCTGGTTTCTTTGAGCAGTGTTTTGTAATTCTCATTGTAGAGGTCTTTCACCTCCCTGGTTAGCTGTATTCCTAGGTATTTTGTTCTTTTTTATGGCTATTGTGAATGGAATTGCATTTTTGATTTGGTTCTCAGCTTGAATGTTGTTGGTGTATAGAAATGTTATTGATTTTTGTATATTGATTTCGTATCCTGAAACTTTGCTGAAGTTGCTTGTCAAATTTAAGAGCTTTTGGTCAGAGACTGTGGGGTTTTTAGGTATAGAATCAGGTTGTCTGCAAACAGAGATAGTTGAACCTCTTCTCCTTCTGTTCAAATGCCTTTTATTATTATTTTTTTTCTCTTTCTGGATTACTCTGACTAGGACTTCCAGTACTATGTTGAATAGGAGTGATGAGAGTGAGCATCGTTGTCTTGAGGAACTTGTTCTATATCCTTGATCTTTACATCTCCCTTTACTTTTTCATAAAATTATCTCCAGGTTCTGTAAATTATGCTTCCCATGTATCTCTGGATTCTGTTCCATATTCCCAGAAAACATTCCTTAGTTCAGTCAGTCATTACTTTTGTTCTAGATTGTAGCTATTGCTTCTTTTTTTTTTGAGATTGAGTTTCGCTCTTGTTACCCAGGCTGGAGTGCAATGGTGCGATCTCGGCTCACCGTAAGCTCCGCCTCCTGGGTTCAGGCAATTCTCCTGCCTCAGCCTCCCAAGTAGCTGGGATTACAGGCACGCGCCACCATGCCCAGCTAATTTTTTGTATTTTTTTTTTTTTTTGTAGAGATGGGGTTTCACCATGTTGACCAGGATGGTCTCGATCTCTTGACCTCGTGATCCACCCACCTCGGCCTCCGATAGTGCTGGGATTACAGGCGTGAGCCACCGCGCCCGGCAGCTATTGCTTCTTAACAACTCCTGGGCTGAAGCCATACACCTGCCTTTCTACCTCCACTCTTCCTCTCAGTAGTTCCAGTTTTAAAATACAGACCCGATTATGGTGTTTTCTTTGATTAAGGTCCTATTTTCTCCAGTCCCTTCCTGCCCACAGAGGCAGGAAGGTTAGTTGATCCTCTCTGGTTCCCATGGTGCCCAGGGCTTACCAGCTCTCTTCACACCTTAAAATTGTTGCTGCCAAGAGACAACTCCTCGAGGGCAGAACCTTGAGATATTCATATTGAATCACCAGTGCCTAACATCATACGTATGCACAGTAGGCATTCAGTATGAGATTTTTGAATGAATGTAATATATAGATTTTATAAGGTAAAATGGAGCAATTATTAGTTGAATGAAAGATGATCAGTTAAATTTGTGAAACCCAAGCAACTGATTTTATAGATGCCATGTTACTTTTAAGGGACAAGGTTTGAAACTATCATGTCCCGTTACAGGGTAAACCTGATTTCTTCCTACTTAACATGTCATAAAACAGTTTTTGAATGTAGATAAATAAGAATGTTATGAGAACCAGACTGTGAAACTAAGAGATTTGTTTCACAGGGGAAAAATCCCCTTAAAATGTTAGAAGATACTTTATACAGGTTGGCAGATAACAAAACCAGGAACTATTTCATATTATTCTTTTACCAATGTTAACTCCCTGTCCCCACTTTTAGAGCCTTATTTTACTTTATCCCTCTGGCACTAGGTGTGTGTGTGTGTGTGTGTGTGTGTGTGTGTGTGTGTGTGTGTTAGTCCTGGGTACTTTTATAGCCATCTGAATATTTTGGCAAAAATATACCCAGGGAATGACCTGGTGACCCTTGTTTCCTCTTAGGGTGATCAGTCTGGCTGGGTGGTCCCCGGAGAAGGATATGCGCTTGCAGTCAGCCAGCATCAGCAACTTGCTGAAATTGATATCAAACTCCAAGAACTCTCTGCAGCCTCTCCAATGATTTCCAGCTTTTCTCCAAGACTTGAACGTCAGAATAATCAGGTATTTGAAGAATCCACGGACTGTTCAAGTTAATGTGTGCTAAAGCTAGTTCACATAATTTTACAGTCTGCTTGTTAATCAGTTGCTTTTCCCAGTGATCATTTGTTTCACAACCGTGTGTATTTTCCTTTGGTTACTTCCACTTTCTCCTCATTTTTCTTTCATATGGTAATTTTCTAGGATGGAGTCACTGAGGGAGTTTTTATTCTAATATTATCATATCTGTATGATTGAAGCTAATTCTCCATCATGATCAAGAGAGAGTGGAGGGAAGAAAGCTAATATGGCACTCATGAGTCCTTTGAGAGCCTTATTGTACTTTGTCTCTCTGGCACTAGGTATTAGCAGTGGTAGCCATTGTCCTTCACTCTGCCACATTCTTATAGCTCCTTTAATTTAACATCGAGCAGCGAAGCTCATTATGTTGACTTCTCTCCTATAAGAGTTTTGAAATCAATGTGTTTCTTCTCTCAGTAGTTCCTTCAAATATTCTTTTACAAAGCAGGTGTGGTGGCTTACGCCTATAATCCCAGCACTTTGGAAGGTAAAGTTGGGTGGATCACTTCAGGTCAGGAGTTCGAGACCAGCCTGGCCAACATGGTGAAACCTCGTCTCTATTAAAAACACAAAAATTAGGCTGGGCGCGGTGGCTCAAGCCTGTAATCCCAGCACTTTGGGAGGCCGAGGCGGGTGGATCACGAGGTCAAGAGATCGAGACCATCCTGGTCAACATGGTGAAACCCCGTCTCTACTAAAAATACAAAAAATCAGCTGGGCATGGTGGTGCGTGCCTGTAATCCCAGCCACTCAGGAGGCTGAGGCAGGAGAATTGCCTGAACCCAGGAGGCGGAGGTTGTGGTGAGCCGAGATTGTGCCGTTGCACTCCAGCCTGGGTAACAAGAGCAAAACTCTGCCTCAAAAAAAAAAAAAAAACAACACAAAAATTTGCTGGGCGTAGTAGTGCTTGCCTGTAATCCCAGCTATTTGGAAGGCTGAGGCAGAAGAATCGCTTGGACCTGGGAGGCGGAGGTTGCAGTTAGCCAAGATCATCTCACTGCACTCCAGCCTGTGTGACACAGCGAGACTTCCTCTCAAAAAAAAAAAAAAAAAAAAAAAAAAAAAAAGGCATATCAGAATATCAGCTTTAGAAAAGTAAATTTCTCTCCTACCCTACATTTGAGTACTTCTTGAAATCTGGTTTGGGTTGGGGTGGTAGACTGAAGAGAAAATATCTGATTGTATAAGAGATTAATAACCCTGTACTCTAGCAGCTTTGTAAAAGTTTCACCAAATCATTTTCTGTACAATTATAGATGGCTGTCATCTTCTTGGACCATCTAAAGATTTAAGTGTCAGTAGTCTGTAGGTAATCCTTCCGTTTTTTTTTTTTTTTGAGACGGAGTTTTGCTCTTGTTACCCAGGCTGGAGTGCAATGGCGCGATCTCGGCTCACCGCAACCTCCGCCTCCTGGGTTCAGGCAATTCTCCTGCCTCAGCCTCCTGAGTAGCTGGGATTACAGGCACTGTGCCACCATGCCCAGCTAATTTTTTGTATTTTTAGTAGAGACGGGGTTTCACCATGTTGACCAGGATGGATCTCGATCTCTTGACCTCGTGATCCACCCGCCTCGGCCTCCGAAAGTGCTGGAATTACAGGCTTGAGCCACCGCGCCCAGCCAATCCTTCTGTTTTATAGTTAGCACTTCCTCTAAGCTATCAGTTGGGCATTAGGGATCCAGCTTCATGCCAGTTGAAGCAACTTCAGGGGAAAGGAACAGTATGAAGGTGTTCCAAGGTAGTAACAGTTTTGTGACTAGTTATATTTCTAATGGACAGGCACAGCTGCTCCTGACCCGTTAGATGGCAGTAATGGTGCAGTTGTTCCCACTATTGATTTGAAATTCTGCAGTGGGATTAAAATTTTTGGAAAGCAGAGATAATTAGAATCTTTGTCCTCACTCAAATGTATCCCAGGACTTTGTTTTTTATTTTATTTTATTTTTTTATTTTTGAGACGGAGTCTCACTCTGTTGCCAGGCTGGAGTGTGACCTCGGCTCAGCTGACTGCAACCTGTGCCTCCCGGGTTCAAGTGATTCTCCTGCTTCAGCCTCCCGAGGAGCTGGGACTATAGGCGCATGCCACCATGCCCAGCTAATTTTTGTATTTTTAGTAGAGACGGGGTTTCACAATGTTGGTTAGGACGGTCTCTATATCCTGACCTCATGATCTGCCTGCCTTGGCCTCCCAGAGTGCTGGGATTACAGGTGTGAGCCACCATGCCCAGCCGTACCCCAGGACTTAGACGTGAGTTAGGCTAGTTTATGTTACTGAATTCTGTTTTTCAAAAAGGAGGAACCCTAGATGAGATAATGAAATGTTTCAGAGATACTCTTTGTCCTTTTCATGTTTCAGTTGATTTTTTGTTGTTGTTAGATTTCAAGAGTAGCTGAAATATCAGAGATGAACTATGATCTTAAATAATAGAAAATGTCCTTTTTGTGGCTGTCAAATGAAGTGAGGTCTGTGAAGTCCAAGACACTGATATAGCCATCCAAAAGCTATATTTTTGGCAAAAATATAGCATGAGAATGACCTGGTGACCCTTGTTTCCTCCTCTTCTTGAAAGAGACAGATAATTCAGAGATTTGTTTGTCCCTTAAGACTTCAAATAAAAAGCATGAATATGGTCAGATTTTCTCATTATCAAGTCAATCACATTTTCAGAGTTCACATTTATAGTTCAGATAAAATTTTAAAAAAATATTGAAAAGAAAAGCCAGTACCTTACATTTCTGGTACATACTGAGATTATGTGTTTTTATGTGAAATAACATATATTTGGAAAGAAAAGGGAAAACAACATTTTGGGACTCCCATTGGATGCAGAAACAAAAATATAATGTAGTTGTTAAAAATAAATTTTATGCTTCTTGCATGCAAAAAAAGAATATCTTTTGAGCTTTTGTTCAATTTCCCTTTGGCATTTCGTCATTTCTAACTAAAACCAGCATTGCACATTGAATTTTCAAAGCAGAAATGCTAACATGGCAAATTATTTTAGGGATATTATTTTGGATTGGACTACTTTTTGAATAAATACACTGTATCTTGAATAAACCCTGTGTATCTATTTAGTTGATAAATGAGTTCCAATCAGTTGCTAACCCACAAATATTCATAGTTCATATTCATTTTATTTTTAACTCTTCTGCAAACCATTAACTCACCAGTAATTTTTCTCTGCGCTCCTTAAGAAAGAATTTCTTTTAAGTGGAATGTAAATTTCTGTTTTTGAATGATTGATTCAGCATATTTTGAATGCTCCTGGATGTAAGGAATTGTAGAGAGCTTAAAGATGAATCAGGCAAATAAAATACTTTGGAATCAAAAATTCTCACTTCAAATTTGGTGCTAGCATTTACTAGTTCTGTGAACTTGGGCACTAATTAGAAGCTCTCTAAACCTCATTTTCCTTATTTATAAAATAATACTAGTATTCTTTAGGGTTCTTGTAAAGAGTAGCTGAGTTAATAGACATAAAGTATTTAGCACAGTGTCTGACACAGAACTCAACCAATGATATTGTTATAAATGATATAAAGAACTTATTTCCTTGTGGGAGGCATTGAGTATACATAGAAAACTGTGGTCAAGACAGCATAGGCAAATGCCATAGAAAACCTTTTTTTTTCTTCAAGAGACAAGTCCTCGCTCTGTCACCCAGGCCGGAGTACAGTGGTGCAATCATGGCTTGCTGCAGCCTTCACCTCCTGGGCCCAAGCAATCCTCCAACCTTACTCTCCCCAGAAGCTAGGACTATAGGTGCCATCACCAGCTAATTTTTAAATTTTTTTGTAGAGATGTGGTCTCACTGTATTGCCCAGGCTGGTCTTGAACTCCTGGCCTCAAGAGATCCACCTGTCTCAACCTCCCAGAGTGCTAGGATTACAGGCATGAGCCAACCTCCCAAAGTGCTGGGGTTACAGGCTCATAGAAGGCTCTAAGTAAAGTGCTGTGGTGGGTCAGAGGCAAGAGAGAGAGCACATCCAAGGAATATTCAGAAAGTCTATTTCCATAAGTGAGGGGCAGAAGGATGAAGAGGAACTAGAGAAGGAGGCAGAGGGATCAGAGATACATAAGAAGACTACCATTATGTATCATAAGGCTGAAACCTGGTGGCCTATAGCAGCAGTCCCCAACCATTTTGGCATCAGGGATTGATTTCCTGGAAGACAATTCTTCTATGGACCCAGGGAGGGGGATGGTTTTGGGATGATTCAAATGCGTTACATTTATTGCGTACTTTATTTCTATTATTATTACATTGTAATACATAATGAAATAATCATACAGCTCACCATAATGTAGAATCAGTGGGAGCCCTGAGCTTGTTTTGCTGCACCTAGGTGGTTCCATCTGGGGGTGATGGGAGACAGTGACAGATAACCAGGTATTAGATTCTCATAAGGAGCACGCAACCTAGATCCCTCACATGGGCAGTTCACAATAGGGTTTGCACTCCTATGAGAATCCAGTGCTGCTGCTGATCTAATGGGAGGCAGAGCTCAGGTGGTAATGCGAGTGATAGGGAGTGGCTGCAAATACAGATGAAGCTTCCCTTGTGCCTGCTACTCACCTCCTCCTGTGGGGCTGCTGTTCTTAACAGGCCACCTGCCAGAACCATCCATGGCCTGGGGGTCGGGAACCTCTGGCCTACAGGACAAATTAAGCTCCCAGTTGGGTTTCCTTTTGCTTACAAAGGATTTAAAGATATTTTTAAGCCAACATTTAAAAATTAGGTGAATTCTTATAAAAATCCAAATTTCTAGTTCTGTCTTCAAAAATTAAAATTAGAAAATATGCCAGCATTAGACCTAAATTCTTGCTTGGCAGTTACTGGATTGAGCTGAATAGTGACTGCTCTTTCTACAGGGCACAGATTCTCCAGTTTGCCTCAGTTACTTACCACTCTTTGTATGGCAGGTCCTGAGGCCCACTTC